CACGGTTAAACACCAAACAACTTATGGCGCTATGTGGGCCGACCTGATAGTGGCTGGAGCTGTACCTGGTCAGACATCTACATTAACAATAACACCATTATCGAGGACTGCAGTTTGAATACTTCAGGCACTGCAGCCATAAGAGAACCGTCCCCACCCCGTCTTCTGACTGCGTCTGTTTTGCTACGTATTTTTGCACTTACGCCTGGTTTCAAACATCTTCTCAGGAAGAATATGACAATCATCATAGCTCACATTTTGACTGACGTGGACTTGGCAAGAGCGCGATGCAGGGGCGGCTCTAGCCTGGAGTTGTTCTTTTTTTTTGGGGGGGGGGGGCAACTGTTCGTCGCCAGCTGGCTGGTGTGGGATTCGTGGTCCAGTGCATGGTGCCTCTCGCGAGTACCTAGTAGGGACACCATTTAAAACCGAAAAAAGCACTGAAATGCTTTCGAATCTTAAACGGAAGCTAAAACAAAACAGTTAAAACGGACGGTATGTAGACGAAACTTTTATGAAGTTCTGGGAATGTTTTTTGGGGGCCAAAACATCCTCTTAGAGGTTTTGGGGGCATAGCCCCGTGCCCCCCCCCCCCCCCCCCCCAGGATCCGCCTATGGCGCGATGGCAGATATCCAGACGTATGTTGGCAACGACGCTGGCTCTATGGCTTGCTTTTCCCGCCAGCATGTTGTTCCTGTCAGCAAAGCGTTAAGGCTCTCCACTCTCAGCAGCGGCCCAACCATGAGATGTCTTACGGTAGTGGAGTCCAAAATCGGACTCCCCTTGTAAGAGGCTGTTTATTCGCCCACGAAACACTACAACCAAGCAGCCCGAACCATTAACACGCTCGTAAACCGCCCAACCACCTCCACCCGAGCTACGAGGCCACGTTATCCACGTTATCCACGTTCTCCAACCACGTTAGCGTGAGCCGGAATGGGTCCAGCGAAAACCAAGTAAACATCTCTTTTGTTCACGGGCGCGCCCTACATCTGGCATCTAGCTTCTGACAAACCTCACGATCCTCACATCCAACAGATAGGTACGCCCTCCATAATGCCCCTCCCTGTGGAGCACGCGCCATACAGGTGTCGCGGCGCGCCTAGGTCCGCTCGTCTGCCCCGCGAGTCAGCTGACGGGCCGATGTTTGAGCCCAGAACTGCCCCCGCGCGGCCGGCCGGCCGCCGCGGCGCTGCCGGCGCCCGGCGCGGTATTTGCCCCCAGGCGTCGCACCGCAGCGCCGCCCGGCCGGCCGCGCCGTACCCAGTCGCTCGAGTGCAGCGCTAGTGGAGGGTGAGGGCGCGCGTGTGGATACCGGCAGCGCGCACCACTAACGGGCCAGGACATAGGTAGGTCTCGGTGGGAAGGGCGATGCGGCGGCGCGCTTTGTGACGGTGTGCTGTCGGTTAAGGCGTGTATAATTGTTGCGAAGTCTAATGTGCATCACAGGTTGTATGCACCTGGTTGTCCGCACCGACCTCATTCGTGATGACTAGATGTGACGACGCGGTAATGATGGTCCAGAAGTCCACTCTGCTGCGTTCTTAGTGCAGTAGCCACCTGGGAAAAGACCGCAGAGATGTAAAACGATTTGTTGTTTTGCCTGACCCCATGGGCCCGATTTTCCTGAACGCCTACTTCCTTCCTCGGCCACACCTTGCTCTGAGCCTTTCTTTTAAAAGGCAGCGATGTGAGATTGTGAAACGTTTTATGCTTATAAGATATTGTAAACGACACAAATTCTTTGGGGGGAGTTCGAAGCCTCAGACATCCTTTCTTGTTGTGGACTTTCGCCGTCCCAGGAGCCGAAGAAACCTTCAGGGTGTTTAGTCCGCTGATGCAGATGACTGCTTCGAGGCGCATCAAATGGTGTGCCGGAGTCCCGGGACCCCTTCCACGTCATTTTTTTTTTACTCTGGGTCGAAGTATAATTCGTCAGCACTTTTCCAGCCCTCTTCGCAAAAATCCTTGTTGCGCACTGCCCGCATGTGTTTTCTTGAACATGTTGGGCGTCTAGAGCCAAGGCGAAGGCTGTAACAGTTGCCTTCATGCTCAAATTAGAACCCTTCAGTCAGTCAAAAATTTGCAGATGGCACTCGTTTCCGCCATCTTTCTGCAGCCAGCAGCCCACATTCATGCCACGGTGCTGCCCCAACGACCTCCGCAAAGGTCACGTGACACCCTTAGTGGAGCACCGCTGGCCAGTTTCTCAAAAGTCGAAAGTGACTGAGGACTGAACGGTTTTATTGCGGAGAAGAGAAAGGAATGAGAAGGCGGGTCGACAAAGCTCCGCCGCTGGCGGTTGCAGTCGGTAACGAGTTCCGCCGCTGGCGGTTGGAGTCGGTACTGAGCTCCGCCGCTGGTGGTTACAGTCGGTACTGAGCTCCGCCGCTGGTGGTTACAGTCGATACTGAGCTCCACCGCTGGTGGTTACAGTCGGTACCGAGTTCCGCCGCTGGCGGTCGCAGTCGGTACTGAGCTCCGCCGCTGTCTGTCGCAGTCGGTACTGAGTTCCACCGCTGGCGGTCGCAATCGACTGACTCGGCGATCGCGAAAAGCTGAGTCCGCACCAACCACGAAAGTGCGTGCCTCTGAGCTATACACCACGGCGGCTGCTGCCGGTCCTGCAGCGCCGGTGGGGCCGTGAGTCAGGGACCCGACCCCGGCGGTGACCGGCCCCGCTGGATTGGCCGGCTCCGTGTCCGGGCCGCGCGGCCAGGCGTTGCGGGGAACCCCGATCGTGATGGGGGCGGTAGGCCGGCGGTCAGGCGGCCACCTGCAGACAATGGGCCTCGTTCGTGACGCCGCGCCGGGTAAGGCCCAGGGCGTGGCGACGCTGTCCACGCAGCGCCGCCCGGCTGCCCACCTCTCCGGAAGTGGCCGCCCTCTGTGGTCCGTGACATCAGCGGGATATCCAGCGACAGGTACGATGAAGGACGCTGAGAAGGGGCTCGCTTGCCGACGCTGCCGACCGGGACGGTGTCGGACTGACAAGTACCGGTTGCGATTTTATCTCTGTAGGGTAGTTTTGTCATTTTATGTTTGTTTTATTTCTGTGCGTTTTGTTGTATAGATGGATATTTTGTTACACACCCGGAGACGGAGCTTACAACCACTTGTAAAATCCGGGTGTCGCATACAAACCACACCGGCCCGACGTCAGAAACAAATATTTCGCGCGTTTTACATTATTCCTTGACCTGGGTAGTATGGCTATGCATTTTTATGACGTTTTACTACCCTGGATTTGTGTCATTTAAAAACTCATGCAAACAGTAGAAAAGCATTCATGGCAGCCGGGTGTTAAGTTCAAGTTTCTGAATATGGAAGGGATTAACGCACCGCGCCGACCGAAATCGGTCGCATCAAAACCGCTCTTATCACGTCGGACGTCAGGCCCATTTCTGACATGGAAGATAAGGAATACACACTGCTGTGGGCGAATAGGAAATTCATGCTGTTTTCACCTGGGATAAGAGCTTTCCATCTTATTGACCACCCTAAGCAGTAGTCGGGTTCATTGACTATCACACGCAATAGTCGGGTTACCATGAAATACCCTTCGGAGTGGTCGGACTGTTAATGTTTTATGCCGGCAGTGAAATGATGAAAGGAAATTGCACTGAGCCTTTACGGGACACGTTAGACAACTTCGCGTTTTCACCCGCAACTGCCATGTGGATTAACGTGGGAGGGCGGCATGGCTTTGGGCCTTGTGTCGCTGCCAGCCCGACACTAAGCCGCCGTCCTCGTGACGCCCGCCGTGACACAAAGCTCGCCTGCGTGTGCCGTTTTCCGAGGTCAGCTGCCTCGGCGCCGGCGGTCAGTTCGGGGGTCCGGCTGTCACGTGCGCACAAGGTCGGCCGTGTCGACCGAGCGGTCAGCGGCGGGCGGGGCCTGTGGCGCGCCCCGGTCAGGGTCGCGCCCCGCGCACGAGCGAGCGGCCGTCACGGCGGCCGTCACGGCTGCCGTCACGGCGGCCGTCACGGCTGCCGTCACGCCGGTCGCGGGAGCCGCTGGCGGTGGCCGCCGCCCGGCCTTGGCGACAGCTCCGCTGGGGCTGGCGCAGGAGTCAGTCCGCACCCCGCCACGGCGCCGCGCGCTGTCCGCGACCCCCGACAGTGACCGGGCGGGCAGGTCTCGCCGTGGTCATCCCTGGTCGAGGACTGCGCTGTCGGTTCAGCACGTGTATGGTGAACGTTCGTCAGAGATGTATCCCATCGATGTCACTGAAAAAGGGCCTCGATCTACATTATTTCAACGACCGACAGCGTTTGGATGTTGTCTTATTTGATCACGGAGGGCCGCGTGAGCCTCGAGATAACGTCGAGGGCAACAGTGCCCTTCATCTGGTCGTCTGGCGACCAAACCGCTGCGGACATGCACAAGGGATTATTGTGCAACAATGATTTCAACAGAACAAAAGCAGTAATGATTTCGGTGTATCGGCAATAAGTGAGCAATCCTCTGATATCAACCTAATCCTGTGATATCAGCTGATGTGTCAAGGTGAGTGCAAGTTACCTTTTCAGTGGGCTCGCCGCAACAGTTCCCTTCATTGTTACTGCGCTAGGATGCGGCGTTTTGCAGGGAACAAGCGATGTAGCAGACGTGAACCGCAAGCATTTGTCCTTGAACCATGTAAGTTATCGTTTCCTTTGGATTCGTTGCAGCAGTTTCCTTTTTTCGCAATGGTGGGAAGAAGCGACGTTTTGCGGCGAGCGAACGATGCAGCATGTTCTGGCGAGAACTGAAGCTTGCGGGAACAAGGTGCAGGGAAAGGGACATAACTTCTGTTTGTTGCGACCCTGTGCAGTGTCGCATAACGGCCAGGTCGGCTGCAGCTGTTGTTCCCTCGTCATGCTTGGATGAGTTACAAAACACCGTTGCCAAAGTGAGCTTTGCATATCTGTCCTGCAGCCGTGCGACCTTCGGGCTCGGACGACCGCTTCCTTCTCTGGCCTGGCTGCGGTGCGGAAGCAGAGCCCGTGCTGGTATTCTCGCTGGAGGTTATATGGCGCCTCCAGGTCAGCTCTGATCCAGCGCTCTTCCTGTTCTGAGAGGGTGCCTCCAGCTCTGTTTTTGTGCGGGGTCACCTCTGCTGGCTGAGCTGCACCTAGGCCGGCCGCCCGCGTCTGGCGTTTCCCTGGGGGGCGCGGTGCGTTCACATGGTTGGATGGGGGGGGGGTGCACCCCTATCACGGCACAGCCCGCATGATCGCAGCTCGGGGCCGCTGGGCTGCGACCCGACCTCCACGAGATGTTTGCCGCGACTCCCTGTTCTGTATTTCACAACGGCAGAGCACGGCCGCGGCTGGTGTTATTTTCCCTGTTCGGTGCCAGGCGCTGCGGTCTCCAGCAGCCTCCCGGCGCCTAGCGGTAACCCCACCGCTCCTGCATACGTAATGACGCATCTGCGACGAATGCACGCGGCGCAGCGCTTCGGAGAGGCGCCGCGTCCACCACGCTCCCGGCTTTGGAGGTCGACCTCCGCTCCAAGATGGCCGACGCTGGATTCCGGAGAGCCGGCAACTGCAGGCGTGTGACTCAGACGGGGGCCGGCACATCGCCGGCTGCGAGGTGTGGACTCGTCACGTGACGGCCATGCACCGGCCGTGGACTGATCACGTGACGAGGATGTGGCCGTCTGTGGGCTGGTGCACAGCAGTGACGTTCAGGAGTTGGACTGGTGGCCGGTGCACAGACCTTACCGGCTACGGATGCGGCGCGCTGCAGTGACGTCACCGACTGCGGACTTCACGGGTGACTGCGACGCCTCACATCTGCGAGCTGTGCGCACGCACGGCGCCAGCTGACGGAGAGTGACGCGCAACAGCGGCGGTCTGAACACGGAGCCAGTCTGCAGAGGAAGGCTAAGAGGCAGGCCTAGCTGTGGCGTCACTGCCTGCGTGGTGTGGAGGGACACGTGATTTGACACGACCACCTGCAGAACCGTCACGTGACAGCGGATTTACTGTCGCTCGGCGGACCCTGATTGGCGGTCCGTGGAGTTGCGGCGACTTGCCCGATTATGTCCCGAGGGTGTTGGCTGCTCAGATTTGGGCATGCCGTGAATCAAAGGGAGGCAGGCTGCGTTGGCCATTTTGCCTGCGTTAGGCTGGTCATTAGGATTCTGGAAACCATATTTATGTTGCCATTATGGCCCGATCCCTAGTGATAGTCCCTGGTCTCTAAACGCTGTAGTTTATATAACGTAACCCCAAGTGACCCAAGTGACATTTCCAATGGCTTGCTTTCGTGCTAATACCGATAGTCACGAGGCCAAACGACCTGAAGCTAATTACTTCGGAACACACTGGTTTTTACGTTACTTGCCCGTACTTTCGTCGCACAAAAAATGTTCTCGCATCCAGGCTTGTTCTAGGATCCGGTGGTGGACTGGAGCCGCCCTTCAGATAAGGCGCAGTGTCCGTCACTGGTCTCGCAGCCTTTGTCAAACGGCCATGTCAGCAGCCAGCTTGAAAAGGCTCCTGTGATGTCGGCCTGCCCGACCAGAGTAGGCGCTTAGGATCCGGGACCATTTTGGGGCTCCCAGGTTATGCCCGCTACAGTTTGGCCTTTTTAGTCGTTCCTGAGTTGATAGTTTTTGCGGTCGTTCATACGTAACGACTAGGAAAGACCACACAAAAAGAGAAACCAGTCTGCTGGGCAGGCCGGCCAGCGCTCTGGACCCGGTGAGATAACCGAGCGCTCTGCACAGAGGAGGCCCATTCTCTGAGATCACGCGCGGAACAACTCAGTCTGCTGGGCAGACCGGCCAGCGGCCTGGACCCGGTGAGATCACGGAGAGCTCTGCACAGGGAAGGCTCATTCCATGAGATCACACGGCGGAACAAATCCGGGGTCAGCGACCCGAGCCATGACTTTGGGACAGCGGACAGTCAGCTGCTGTTCGCCACCAGCAGGTCGTGGCTGGTAGTGAAAGTCCTGTCAAGAGCCAGAGCCGGGGTCAGAGTCCAGTCAGAGCGAGAGTCAGTCCCAGCCAAGCTCGGAGGTCCAGAGGCGGAGTCAACCGAAGAGAAACAGATAGAGCCAAACTCTGAGCTAGAGCTCGAGCTCGCGCTCGAGCTACAACTTGAGCCAAAACCGGACCCGGAGCCGGAGCAGGAAGCAAAGCTAGTGGCAGGTCCCAGCCACATATAACGTTGAGATAAAAGGATAGAGCCCAACCAGAGCTCGAACCTGGAGTCTCGAACTCGGATCCCGGGCCTCATCGGGCGACCTCGTGACCTCTTGGGTCATCGGCTGCCGCTGCGTCACTGGGAAGGTCAGCGACCACCACCCAAACGACGCTCACCCGCAATGCGGCAGCAGCCCCCAAGCCGCGCGCGAGCTGCCATTGGTTCGCGCTTGTCCTCTCCCGCAGAAGCGCGGCGGGTGACCGGTGACGTCACAGGTTTGGCGAGGTTGGTCCCGGGATGCAGGAATGCGATTAGGCCTAACGACGTGGCGATATTTTGGCGTACGTGTCTAGCGTCGGGCCTCAGGCGCAGGATAAATGTGGCACTGTGTGGATTCAGTACGCAAAGGAGCGAGATTGATTCGAACGTGCTCCGGTGCGGTGAGGGCGGGGACGCCCAGCGAGTGGATTAGGTCAAGGTCATGACCAACAAGCAGCATGTCAGGTTTGATGGAGTCCTCCGTGCCAATAGTATGCTGGTTGAAGTGTGGCTCCATTATTTTCTTATATGGAGTATCAAATGGCTTGGGAAATTTTTCTGTCTATTTGTCGAGCTGCTGTCTAATTTGTCACGTTTCGTCACGTACCATGAATATGTACTCAGCCCGTCTGGCAGTGCGGTAAACCGACGACCATGCTCGACGCTGGGTCTGGAAGCATCAGTGAATGGAAGCAGTGGATCAGTGAGTGGCCAGAATAAAGTTGTTTGCATTTTTATCCAGCCTTGTGGAGCCTATGCTCATCACTGCTGGGCTAGCATGACTGAATATGTTGTTGCTTGTCGCCTTGTTGTGCAAGCCCATGGCTACATGTAGATATTTCCTGACACGTTGTAGCACGGCTCCCGCTGCTTGGTAGCCGAAGGACGCGTCCATCGTCATGACCGTATGTGAGAAGTTGGGGTCATAAAAGTGCCTTAGCCGTCATAGTTATTTACTCCCGTCCTCAGGACATTATAGGAGGGAAAGGGCGGTTGCTGACCGCGCATTCTCGCGTCAGTTTAAAGCCACTGGCCGTCATAATCGGCTATAAAACACACATTTAGTGGACTATGATAGTTATGCTAATAGTCAAAGGTCAGATAATATTTGATTATGGCAGTTCAGCCCTAGCCTGTCGTTAAGGGCCATTCCGTTTTGGATATGGGTTCTCGAGCACTTAATGACGAAAATTGCAGACGTTATGTACATGTAACAGTACAGTCAACAATGGATTTTTATCTGCTGACAGGCCCTCATTCTGATATTCTTTTACCAGCATTTTGACGTTCTCCTTTTGACGACTTCTTGTACCAAACACAATATTGGTCAAGGCTTGATGAGCTCATTTTACATTTCATGCAACGCGATGTCCAATAATTAGTATTCACCACGTAGTTAAAACTGCGATATTCCTGATGCCGCCGCATGCTCACCTCTCAGCTGCCTTACACCGTTTAAGCCCAGACTGGATCGGTTCGAGAATTGCTGAACCCAGCTAAGCATATCCGACCGGTGCCTCTGACACGGGAGGGCATGCATATGGGACATCTGACACGGGAGGGCATGCATATGGGACATCTGACACGGGAGGGCATGCATACCTCGTCATACGTGCTGCTATTCATATTTATGCACGCCATACTGTCGGCCCCTGGCCCGGACGAGGTCCGGTTCGGGGAGCCGGACGCCTTGAACACGTGTGATCCTGAGCCTCGGTGCTGTGAGTCATGACTTCTGGTAGGCTTCAAGGCGTCGACGGAAAAGATCGACCGGCTACTTTCGTTTTTCCTTCCGAGCTGGGGAGGACGGGTTCTAGCGCTGCCGCCAGCGAGCAGTGATGCATGTGACAAAAACTCCCCTGACCGGTTCTGCAGATACCAGTCAAAATCAAATGCCCCAGAAAATGAAGCAAAGCAACTACAGTGCCCGCCGTTGCTTGCCACCATATGTGTACTGGTGCCCAAAATGGTAATAAGCATGGAGCGATGCAAATATTGGGCGGCAAGCCTTCGAATAATCACAACTAGAGCTTTTAGCATAAGCACGTGTGCTCCTCTACTGTGTTTTGAAAAATAGTTTTCCCCTCTCCCCTAGTATCTTCACTATGGCACATCCGCTGCCACGGACGACAAGCGAAACATATAACAAAAGCCACACATAAGCCTCTGGACAGCCATTGTCAGTCGTCCACATGGATCTGAAGGCCGCGGCCCAGTGTTTGGCGGCCGCGGTCGCGGGGCCCCGACACCGATCCGCGAGAGGCGCCCCCCTGCGCCGCCACCTTGGCCTGAACAGGCGGAGGAGCTGCATGGCTGATGAGGTGCTGCGCGTGTGCCCATGTAGAGCGGCCGGCGCGGACGATCGCCAGGCACCGGCGCCGGCCGCCGGCGCATTCCGCCCGGTGAAAGCGGCCCGGCCCGGCCCGTCTCGTCTCGCGGGCTCGGGTGGACGCCGGCCGGGGGCTCATCTCACCGGGAGCGCGCGGCGCGCCGCCGGGACGACCTCTGGCCACTCAGCGGCTTCAGTGGCTGCTGTCCATCGCGGGGACACGCCGCCGTGCTATGTGTCGTCACTGCGGGGCGCGTCACTGCGCCATGTACCGGCGTTGTCGGCATTCCTTACCGGGCCGCATGCGGCCCATTTTCGGGGGACGTCTGGCTGCGCCTGTCCACTGTGGGAGGGCGTCAGCGGGTCCCCCGCCATGCCTTCACTGTAAGGCCGGTTCCCAGTCTTCGCGCTGTCCGCTGTCGGAGCTGGTCACCAGAGCTGCCATGCTCCCAGAACTTCCTCTTCGCGACGCGCCTCCATGTGGCTGCTGTCCATGGTCGAGAGTGAGGGGGGGGGGGGGGTACCGACTGCGGGAGCCGGGGCAGCCACCCCGATGTCGACGGCCATTGTTGTTTGCGCCGGCGTGAGGGCGCGTCTCCGCCTAATAGGCCCCTCGCAGCCCACGGGCCGCCCCCGCCCGACCCGACTCGACGCGGCTCGGCTCGTTCCGATGATGCGCCGGTAATTGGTTGGCCGGCCTTGAGGGGTGAACCGACTTGAACGGCGCTGGGAGCCGATGGGCGCCGCTGGCGGCCGTCGACAGGGAAGCGGCTGACGAGCCAATGACCGGCCGGTCAGCCGTGTCCGTCCTTCCCACGGCCCGGCGGCGTCCTGCCGCGCCGCGCCTCACCGCGCCGAGCCGAGCCGAGCCGAGCCAAGCCGAGCCGAGCCGAGCCGAGCCGAGCCGAGCCGAGCCGAGCCGAGCCGAGCCGAGCCGAGCCGAGCCGAGCCGAGCCGAGCCGGGCCGAGCCGAGCCGAGCCGAGCCGAGCCGAGCCGAGCCGAGCCGAGCCGAGCCGAGCCTCACCGCGCCGCGCCTCACCGCGCCGCGCCTCACCGAGCCGAGCCGAGCCTCGCCTCGCCGAGCCGCGGCCGGCGATCTCGGCCGACGGGCTGGTGCAAAGAGGCCGTACAGGACTGCAGGACCAGTCCCCGTGCGGCGCGTGAACTCGCGGGATGGAGTGGGGCTTGACAGCGCTGTCGCTCCGGTGACAGAGCTATGTGTCTAGCTGACGGAGACATACCTCAAGTCATAGTTTCCCTTTTGTAACTGCCTGAAGTCGCCGGCCGCTGTAATCACATGTTTTGGATTACAAGTTATGGGTGGTTTTCTTTTTTATTAAATCATTACGAATCAGCTCATGCGCGAGTCTGAAGTCACTAGCCCAGGTAAGCGACTAGGGGCGCTTAGCAAGACTGACACATGTGGTTCTTCAGGCCTCACAGATCCCGCCGCGCCTAGCAGCGCTCCTGCGTGGTCTGAGGGTTATGCTTCCCGCAGCTCCAGGTTTGAGTATCGGCTTATCGGCATGCCGCTGGAACGGCGTCCGTGCGATAGATCCACTGTCTGGGCATGACAGTTTTGTCCCCCATTCGGTCATCGTCGCTCAGTCGATATAATCGCCGCAGGCAGTGAATTATTGAGACGGTCATGCCGCGCACGCGCACGTGATGCTGGTGTTTGCGTCTGAAATTGGAGCGCTAGTACTGGTATTGACGGCGCAATTGTTTTTTTCCCTTCGCAAGGGCTCAAACATGGACGGATTGAGGGGAGAGGCTGTAGGAGGATCTGACGTCTGATCTGCAGGACATGTAGTCCGTGCCCGATTTAGACCGGCTGCGACGGGCGTAGCGAAAGTTTCGCAAGCACCGGTCAAACAGGAGCTTTTCGCAAGCGTCTGTCGTCGAATGTTCATTTCCCGGGCTCAGGTGACTATCTTCAGCCCTGAAAATGCTATTGTCGACGGAGCGTGGCGCGGCCAGCCGCTGTTCTCTCCCGGCATCGCGTGCGCTGGAAGCTCAGTCATCAGTCGTAAATGGCGTGCGTGCCCCAAGCCTCGTAGACGTATCGACAATCCATTACCGCCGGCGGGACATCTAGGGGAGGGGAGAGGGAGAGTGGCACACTGTTCGACACTTAGCAAACGAATTTGTGCGATGTGGCCATTCGGCATGTCCATGTGTTTTTCAATCGTTTTTCACCCTGATTTTGTTTTGCTGGGTACGCCTCTGACCACTGACATCGCCTTTTATCGATTGACCTGGATCCGCAATTTAAAAGCCATTCGCTGTGAAGGCATGGCAGGCTTTGTGCTTGTGATGAATAGAACCACAGGTAAGTGCGCCGTCACAGACAATCTGTCGTGGAGTGCTTCCGCTAAGTAGCTTACGAGTGCTGGGAACGTCGCAAATGAACGAACACTGTCCGTGTGGCGGATAAGAATTCCCTCCGCACCATCGTCAGCGCGGCAGCCTGACACGGCATCATCCTCTTTGAACAGCTTAACCGAGCTCGATTTTTACGGCGCTGCTCCTCGCGTCGCCACGCTGCTGCCAGTCCGGATTATCCGCGCTGCAGGTCACACCACGACGGCTCGGCCCGGCCCGGTGACGGTTGCCGCGTCCGAGCCGGATTTTGTCCCGCGACTTTTATCGGACCGCGATGGCTGTCGCTGCTGTTTGCGTTCTGTCCGATCACCGGAGCTGATCCAATCTGGCGCGGCATGGCACTTGAGTTTACGCTGGGGTGGGTCGCGCTACGGAGGAAATTGCGCGCGTATTCCGTTCCCGCTGGCCTGGCCCGACCTGACCTGACCTGACCCGTGTTTCAGCTGGTGGCGGCGCCATGGAGGGCTGGCTGTGCGCCCTGACCCTGCTCTCGCTGACCTGGCACGCGGCCGGTCACGTGGCGCTCACGTTCCCGCCAGCGCGCAAGTTTGACCTGGACTTCCTCGATACGTTTCGCACGAAGCCGCCATGCGGCATGCCCAAAGGTGAGTGGGCGGCAGAGCCGCGCCGCGGACCAACGGAAAACCAACTGAAAATGAGAAGGCTGACCGCGCTGGATCTGGTAAAGCCTGGTCACTAGGAGAGGGGAGTCGGGTTTGTCACAGCACTTTGTAATGGAAACACGTCCAAGATGATTGCAGTGCAAGTTCATAAAGGTGAGTCGTCGTCGCAGTAATGGTTCACTTTAACTGCCTACGCGCGTGGTACTTTAAGAGGCAATCATGGTGCACCCTTGGCACCGTGAGTCAGGGGGCCGACCGGCCGGCCTCCATAACGGCCCGCGTGACGAGGAGGGCGCACGTGCTGAGGCCGGTCTCTGTGATGCTGGGGCGGTGGGTATGACTCGGTTCGTTTAACGGTATGATAATCGGCTTCTGCTGGCTTACGATTGGTTCTGGCCCCGGGGAAACGTCCCATGCATGCGTCACAAGGCGCTTCTAGATGAAGTCTCGCTGTCACGAACTCCAGGGCGAAAACGCGCGCTGGCTGGCTGCACTTGTCATCGTCACCGGGGTCAGCCCCCGGCACGTGTCTGCGATGCCTGGGTTATCCCCCGGCACGCGTCAACGATGCCTAGGTGAACCTCCGGCACGTGTCAGCAATGCCTGGGTCAGCCCTCCCCGGCGCCGGGTTCAGCCCCCGCACGTGTTCGGGTTGTCCAGATCGATTCCTCCCCCCGCATGGATCTGGTCCACCCCCTTTTCAGCACATGTCAGTGGCTCCGCCCCTTTCCGGACGTGGCGGGGGCTTCACCCCTCCCCGCACGTGGCAGCGGCTCCGCCCCCTCCCCGCACGTGGCAGCACGCCGCCTCTGCACGTGGCCCCCATACCTGGGTCACTCCCCCCCGCACGGCGCGGCGTCACGCTCCTATGCGGGCCCGGGGCCGGGCCGCGGGGGGGGGGGCACCTGACGTCGATCAGCGCCCCCGGCCGTGCCGCGCTTGGCGGCGCCAAGGCCGGTGCTGCTGCGGCCGCCCGCCTCCGCCGCCGTGCTTACGACACGCCCGGTAAAAGCGACCCGCCCGGTTTGGAGCGCGTCGCCGGCCGCCGGCGCCGCGGCGCCGTTCCGGCGGCGCGGGCCGCGCTGGTGACGTCTCACTGGGCGAGGCGAGCGGTGAAAACGGCGCGGAATCATCACGTGCCCTGGAAATGGTTTCCAGCTCGGAACGTGTCCAGGTTTCACCGGATTAGGAGCTCCCTCGGGTTTGAACAAACGATGTCCGAGGCATTCTTCACATTTGGCACATTCGCATAACACAAAAACAAAATAGTGCGACACCAGCGTGTGAATGAACTCTCGGCATTCATTCTAATGGTATCACTGGCCACATTGGAACGCTATCATCCACCGGATAGCCGATCCATTCATGGGAGCTGATGGCCGGCTCGGAGAATGACGCTATCTACGCCAAACATGGCCTGCGGTGAGGCGGCGGAGGCTGCGCTGGAATTGTTCCGGACGTTCCGGTCGACCGGCCGTGGCTGGCCGGCCTTCAGGTGGCTTGAGCGTCGCCGGGTCCGGGGCAGCTGCGGACCGGGCCGGTCCCGCCCTCGCCGCCAGTCAGCCACCCTGCCCCTGTCGGCGGGTCTGTGGCGCGGCGCCGCCTGACGACGGCCGGCGCTGCACCCCGGCGAAAGCGGCGCGGCGCTCCCCCGCCCCGTCTCAGCTGCCCCGGCCAGCCGGCGCGCCACGACTGCCCCCTTCCGGTGCTGGGGCGGCGCGCGCGGCGCTGGGACGCGGCCGGACCGGACCCAACTCTCGCGCTGCCGTCGCCGCGCCGCCGGTCTTTGTAAGGATGGCACTCGGAAGTCACGCGATCAGGTCTCACGGCCCGCCACGAGACTGGAGCCTGGTGCGCCGCCGGCCAGGCTGCAGTCTGGGGGAGGCGTTTCGGACGGGAGCGCGGTGCGCCGACGTTCGGCGGCGAGCCCGGTGGGCTGGGGCGGCGGCCGCCCGCGATCTGGGTCAGTGGGTGGCCACTGGACGCGTGGGACCATTGATCGCGTGCGAACGGTGGCCGCCTGCCTGCCGTGCCGACGTCGTACAGTCTTACACTGTCTGGCTTCTGCGATTGTCTGCGTGTCAGGGGCTCGTGATCTGGTTGCGTGGGCACCAGATCGCGGTGTAATTTAATGAATTCGGTCTGCAAAAAAGGCGGCTGACATCATTATCTGCATCAATGCTGTTGATGTTTATCATCAATGCAGACCGTATTCTGCCTAACCTCACTTTAATTTGAAATCATCTTCGAACATGTGCTGCAGGGAGTTTTCTAACAGCTCTGAATTATGAGCCAGGCTGAGCTGATTAGTCTTAACCCGGTCTTACTGGCCGCTTATCTTTTCTAAACGCAGAGTAAATCTGTCGCAGCCAGTTGGCTCTGCGGGGTCTTCTGACATTCCAGGAAAACAATGCTACAGCCGCTAATTGCAAAGACAGCTCTGAAAAACGGACGCTCTTGGGGACCCAAGTAGCTGCTGGACATGGCTACACGACTTGTCCAGCATGGCCGTGGCGCGCGCGAGGAAAAGATTTAAACACCGTATCACACGCCCTGAAAACCTGCGGCGTTTGCGGCCCGACGGAGCGCAGTGCGCAGCAGCCGGTGCTGCGAGCGACCACCTACGCGGTGCCGGCCGTGCCTGGCGCGGGCCCGCGCGGAGCTGTGCGCTGCGCCAGCGCAGCCGCCGCGCGGCTAGAACCCGGGTGTTTGAGACCGCTCTGGTCCGCTCCAGTCCGTTCCGGTTTGGTCCGGTCCGCTCCGGTTTGGTCGGTCCGCTCCGGCCCGCTCTGGCCCGCTCCTGCCGACGAAGCTGCCAAGCCCGCAAAGTCGGCCGACTTCGGCGGTGCCGCGGCCGCCGCAGGTGGAGCGGGAGGCACCTGGCGGCCAGCCCGGCGCACGCGACTGGATGAGCCCCGGCGGCACGCGCAGTTGGACATGCACGGGGGGATCCGGGACGGCATGTGGCAGGCAGGCGCCAGGAGACCGCGACGCCTGCCAAGCCCTTCGAAGAGAGCTCATGCCGGCACATGTTCAGCGGTGTGCGATGCTGCACCGATCGGTCCCACCCCGGTGGAGGGACGCAGCTGGCGGCGTGTGGCGGCGGTCTCCGGGCCAGGCCGGGCGGCCGGCTGTGGTGGAGACGTGGGCCGAAGACGCCGCCGCTCGTCACTGACAGCTGGCGTGAGAGCGGAGCGGCGCCGGCCCAGCGCCGCGGGAAACTGTGGCGGGAAGCGGTGGCGGGAACCGCTGGCGGGAAGCCGCGCCAGGAAGCTCGGGCCAGCCGTGGCTCCGGGAGCTGTGCGGTGCCGCCCCGCAGCGTATCGAGGTTCTGGTCCGCTTCCTGCTGCCGGACGGAGCTCTGCTGGCTCGGGGCGTCCCTGGTGATGTCAGAGCCGACCCTCGGACGGGTCAGGCGGCGAGGCCTGCACCTGGCAGGCCTCGCCAACAACAGCTGCTGTTGCGGGGTCGTCGTGCTGGTTTGCAAAACGTTGTGCTCTGCTGGACCGTTTTCGACGAACTAGAAATTATTGCACAGTCGTCTAAACACGAACTTCGTTCTCACGGCATCTCGCTGTCTGAAGCCCACATGAGCATGCACCTTACAGCATCCTGGAATGCAGGAGCAAGACAGAGCAGTCGCTCGAACACGGTGGTCTGCCAGCGGCGAGGCCCCTGGCCGTCGCAGCCCCGCCGGGCGCGGCCGCGGCCTGCAGCCGTCCTGTGCATGCTGAGGCGGGCGGCTGCACCCTCATCACCGGCTCGGCAGCGGCGCGTGACGGTGGGCCTGCCCCGACGCCTGCTCGAGCCGCGGAGAGCACGGCCAGCTCACGCCGCTCGCGCTCCTCCGCTGCAGCGGCGCTGCATGTCGAGTGGTGCTCGCGCTCAGCCGCCGTGGGTTCTTTGACAACGGGAAAGAGATCAGCAGATGGCGGCATGCAGCGGCTGGAGCGGGCGGCGGCCGCGGGCGGTCGAGCCACCCACTGCTGTTTGGCTTGCCCGGTGCCTGTAAGGGTGCTGTGACGTCACTGAGACTGACAAGCGGTTAGGGCGACGGCTCTAGACGGGCCGGAATCTTCCTACCATCGAGCAGCATTACGCCGGCGCTGACTGGATGTCGGACGCCACTGGATCTGCGCCAAGGCCGGCCGAGTTTCCTCATTTCCTCCCTGGCACACGCTGTGTGCAGGACCAGGGTAGGGAAGGTCGTCATATCCGCCGCGCAATCTGCCCGGCTGCAGACTTTAAACGAAATCGATTAGTCATCAGCTGGGGGGTTTCCGGCCCTGAGTCAGACCCGTGGCGACGGTCGAAGACAAAGCGTACGCGGCACGTGCGGACATTGCACCCAAGAGGTTTTCACCCACCAGCGACGGATGCGGATGCGTGCGCGTCGCGTCGCGGGTGCTCCCTCATGTGGATAGACATTTCTTGAAACGGAGCGTGCATCCGACTGTGCAGAAATACAAAAGTTTCGGCTGTGCGTGAATGATAGCTACCTTATGTACTGCACACAAGGCTGCGGGGTGATTTCCGTCACGCTGGAGGCTTCAAATGGACGGATGCGGTCCCCAACAAGCAAATGAGCTTTTCCCATGACAGGCAAAGTGACGCCCGAGATGGGTGAGTTGGCCCAATGACTGTCGAGGCGAAGCCCGCAAGATGTGAGCCAATACGTAATGTAAGCGAGCCGACACTCACGACAGACGAATCGATGCACACAACAGGCGAGCCGACACTCACGACAGGCGAGTCGACAACCATGACAGGCAAGTCGACATCCACGACAGGCAAGTCGACATCCACGACAGGCAAGTCGACACCCATGACAGGCGAGTCGACACTCATGACGGACGAGTCGACACCCTCGAGTCGACACGCACAACAGGCGAGTCGACACCCACGACAGGCGAGCAAACGCCCATGCAGGCCAGCTGCCATGGTGGGCGGCGGGTAACGAGCGGCGCGCGGCGCAGCCTTGA